CCATACCATGCCTACCATACCATTCCATACCACTCCATACCGAAAACCATACTACTTACATGGTTTCGTGCCCCTCCCACCCCTCCAGGGAGGCCCCGCCTGAGCGAGGAGGGTATCGGAATACCATACTATTTACATGGTTTCGTGCCCCTCCCACCCTCCAGGGAGGCCCCGCCTGAGCGAGGAGGGTATCGGAATACCATACTATTTACATGGTTTCGTGCCCCTCCCACCCCTCCAGGGAGGCCCCGCCTGAGCGAGGAGGGTATCGGAATACCATACTATTTACATGGTTTCGTGCCCCTCCCACCCCTCCAGGGAGGCCCCGCCTGAGCGAGGAGGGTATCGGAAACCATACTATTTACATGGTTTCGTGCCCCTCCCACCCCTCCAGGGAGGCCCCGCCTGAGCGAGGAGGGTATCGGAAACCATACTATTTACATGGTTTCGTGCCCCTCCCACCCTTCCAGGGAGGCCCCGCCTGAGCGAGGAGGGTATCGGAAAACCATACTATTTACATGGTTTCGTGCCCCTCCCACCCCTCCAGGGAGGCCCCGCCTGAGCGAGGAGGGTATCCGAAACCATACTATTTACATGGTTTCGTGCCCCTCCCACCCCTCCAGGGAGGCCCCGCCTGAGCGAGGATGGTATCGGAATACCATACTATTTACATGGTTTCGTGCCCCTCCCACCCCTCCAGGGAGGCCCCGCCTGAGCGAGGAGGGTATCGGAATACCATACTATTTACATGGTTTCGTGCCCCTCCCACCCCTCCAGGGAGGGCCCGCCTGAGCGAGGAGGGTATCGGAATACCATACTATTTACATGGTTTCGTGCCCCTCCCACCCCTCCAGGGAGGCCCCGCCTGAGCGAGGAGGGTATCCGCAAACCATACTATTACATGGTTTCGTGCCCCTCCCACCCCTGCAGGGAGGCCCCGCCTGAGCGAGGAGGGTATCGGAAAACCATACTATTTACATGGTTTCGTGCCCCTCCCACCCCTCCAGGGAGGCCCCGCCTGAGCGAGGAGGGTATCCGAAAACCATACTATTTATATGGTTTCGTGCCCCTCCCACCACTGCAGGGAAGCCCCGCCTGAGCGAGGAGGGTATCGGAAGACCATACTATTTACATTGTTTCGTGCCCCATCCCACCTCTCCAGGAGGCAAAACCATACTATTTACATGGTTTCGTGCCCTTCCCACACCTCCAGGGAGGCCCCGCCTGAGCGAGGAGGGTATCCGGACCATCCGGAAACCATACTATTTACTTCGTGCCCGTGCCCCTCCCACCTCTCCAGGGAGGCCCCGCCTGAGCGAGGAGGGTATCCGAAAACCATACTATTTACATGGTTTCGTGCCCTCCACCCTGCAGGGTGTCGGCCCCGCCTGAGCGAGGGAGGGTGTCCAAAACCAACTATTTACATGGGTTTCGTGCCCCCCCCACCTCTCCAGGGAGGCCCCGTCTGAGCGAGGAGGGTATCCGAAAACCATACTATTTACATGGTTTCGTGCCCCTCCCACCCCTCCAGGGAGGCCCCGCCTGAGCGAGGAGGGTATCGGAAAACCATATTATTTACATGGTTTCGTGCCCTCCTCCTCCTCCTCCTCCTCCTCCTCCTCCTCCTCCTCCTCCTCCTCCTCCTCTTCCTGGAGGGTATCGGAAAACATGCTGTTTACACGGTTTCGTGTCCCCCCTCCACTCCTCCAGAGAGGCCGCGCTTGAACGAGGAGGGTCGCGGAAAGCATTATTCTTCGCCAGGTTTCGTAGCCCTCCCCCCTTCCAGCGGGGCCCCGCCAAAGCGAGGAGGGCATCAAGAAAATGGGTCCCACGAAACCGTTAATCTCTTTATGTGGGGAACTCCGTTAGCATAATTTTTCAAAGCGAATGTGTGCGGCCCGAAGGCGAGAGCCATATTTTGGAAAGGAACCGCACTTCACCCGTGAAGCTCTTGCAAATTTCAGGCGGAAGTGTGCGGCACTAGGGCGAGAGTCACGTTTTCGAAAGCGGACCGCCCTCCAACCGTGAAGCTCTTGCAATTTTTGAGGCGGAAGTGCGCGGCCCTAAGGTGAGAGCCACATTCTCGAAAGCGGACTGCCCTCAATCCGTCAAGCTCTTGCATAAAAAAGCGAACGTGCGCGGCGCCCAGGCGAGAACCGCATCTTCGAAAGCGGACCGCCCTCCATCCGTCAAATTCTTGCTAACTTTCAGCGTAAGGATCACACATGGTGAGGAAGTCTCGGGCGAAGCGCCCGGCCCGCCCTGCCGAGACGCCTCGGGATGCGACAGGGAGGAGTTGTTGTCAGTTGCAGTAATGGAGGAGGAGGAGGAGGAGGAGGAGGAGGAGGAGGAGGAGGAGGAGGAGGAGGAGGAGGTTAAGGAGGAGGAGGAGGAGGAGGAGGAGGAGGAGGAGGAGGAGCGAAGACGACATGAGGAGCAAGGACGAGACATGAAGGGCAAGGAAGAGTGAGGAAGAGGTGCCAGTCGAGTACGACATCCCAGACCCCGTGGGCGTCTTGGTCCTCGCCGACCCTACCACCAGCAGTGGCTCAGGCATTGCCGTCACGACGACCTCGACGAGCACTTCCACCAGCGCCCCAGGGCGAAAAATACAGCCTCCCCTCAGACTCGTTGCCAGGCCAATGAGAAAGGAGGGGTTGGAGCGGGAGTAACGTAAAGTCTGATTGGAGATTGCTTCTCCGCCTCATCAACCTCCCCGACCCCCGCGCCACTCGCTTGTGCGCGCCGCCAAAGAGGGGACGAAGTCTCTTCAGACAGACTTTCGCTTTTCCTGATCTGTGGGGCCACGGCTTGCTTCACATCGCCCTTCACCCGCCTCTCGTCCTCCTCCTCCTCCTCCTCCTCCTCCTCCTCCTCCCGCTCCTCCTCCTCCTCCTCCTCCTCCTCCTCCTCCTCCTCCTCCTCCTCCTCCTCCTCCTCCTCCTCCTCCCCCACCTTCTACCGGTAGAGAGCAGGCTGGAGAGTTGAGTGGGGCAGTAGGGGAACGGAAGTGGAGGGGGAGTGGGGGGAGGTGGGCGGGAGTTCGAGAAAGTGCCAGCTCAGAAGAGGCCCCGCGAGGGGGAGAGGGATAGACGCAAGAAGCTCGCAGACGGACCAGACTGCGGTGCACTCATTGCGCGGAAGGGTCCGCGCCCGCAGCCGGCCCGGCGCGGCTCGCCTCCAGACCCCCAGAGCTCTGATCCTTCCTCTCCAGCGCGTGGGACCTCATGTCGGCGGCGAGCGAGGGGGGGGGAAGCGAGAAGGAGAAGGCCTTCTCAGAGGGCGGCGGGGCTTCTCAGAGGCCCTCGCGCCTTCCGAGAGGTTCTCTCTGTGCCTTCGGGGAAGGCCCTGGAAGCTTCTCAGAAGGCCGGGGAGCTTCCGAGCCTTCCGAGGAGGGCCGCCCTCTCTCCCTTCCCCCCCTTTGCGCCGAGCCTTGGCAGGCCACCTTCTCGTGCTCGGGCGCGGTGGCAGGGACGCTCGCCGCGCACCCCCCCATGGCGTCAGAGGGCCGTGCCGGGCCGCCGCTTCGAGCGCGCCCGCCGCGCCCAACAGAGACCCCCCCCCTCGCTCGCCGCCTGCCGTGCTCTCCACCCCCGTCGCTCGCGCGGACCTCTCGTGCCGCGCGCTCGGCGCGGCTCGCGCCCGGGCCTCCCCGGGGGCTCCGCCGCTGCGCTCGGCCCCGCCGCGCCCGGGCCGACCGCCCTCTCGCGCCGCGGCCCGGCCGCCCCTGCGCTGCCCCGCGGCCTCTCGGGAGCGGCCTCGAGGATCGGAGGAGTCGTCGTCTCCTCCGCCGCGCGAGGCGGCGGAGGGGCGGCGGGGGCGAGCAGCGAGGCTGCCCCCCTCCAGTGTGGAGGCGGCGGCGGAAGGGCGGCGGAGGGCGGCGGAGGTGAAGCATGCACCCCTGGAGGTGGAGGCATGCTTGGGTTCAGGGGTTCCGGCCTCGGCCAGGGGGGCCGGAGCCTGGGCGGCGCAGGATCTCCGAGGCCGCGGCCTTTTTCAGGCCGTGGGCGCCGGGTGGTTCCCGGCCTTTTTTCCCCACGGGGCCCGTTTTTTCCTTCCGTCCCGGATCCCCCCTTGATGTCGGCGGTCCCTGGGCCTGGGCTGTGGCCCCTCAGGGGGCAGGATGTCGCTCGAAGGCCTCCCGTCGTCATTTCCTTTCGCGACGCGGGGGGTGTCTCGGGGTGCCGCTCGGCGAGGTTTCTCCCCCGATGCAGACCGCGCCGGGGGGGGCCCGCTCCTGCGGCGAGGACCAGGCGTCCACTGCCGTGGCGCCCCGTTGACTCTGGGGGGTGTCGGCTCTGGGGGGTCGCCTCCAGAGGTGGCCTCGGGGGTCGTCCCGGGGGTCGCTTGGGTAGGTCGGGGGTCGCTCGGGTCGCTCGGTGGTTGCCTTGGGCATGTTTTGCCTTGCCTTGCCTTGCCTTGCCTTGCCTTGCCTTGCCTTGTCTCGTCTTGCGCGTTGTTGCATCAGTTGTTTCGTCTTTCATTGCGCTTCTCTGGTGCGTTGCTTTGCCGAGCAATGCGAAGCTTGAATACGTAATGCCCTGGACTTTCCATGTCGTGCAATACAGCGAAATTAGATGCTGTGCTACGCCATACCATGCTACGCCATGCTGTACTACGATCGGCTACGCAACCCAGCCCTATGCCATGCAGTGCTATGCTTAGCTACGCTGTTCGGCGCCAGGCTATGCTATACATCGCTATGCTACGCGATTCAATGCCAGGATATTCAATGCAATGCAATGCTATGCCATGCCATGCTATATGAGTCGCTGTAGTGCTATGCATTGTTCTGCTACGCCATAGTGTGATGTGCGCTGCTATGCTCTGCCACGGCATGATAGGCGGTGCCGAGCGACAGCGGGCGTCGGCGGACCCTCCGACCTGCCTGCTCGTGCGCCCTGGGCACCGCAGGCTCCACCAACGAGCAGCAGTGGCTGGCCGTGGTCCTCGACACCGCGAAGGAGGAGCTCATGCTGGACGCGCTGGAGTTCTCCCCGGTCGGGGCCCGGGAGCAGCTCCTCCTCCTCCTCCGCCCTTGGAGGGCCCCCCAACGGTATGGTGACCACGCCGGGTGGTGAGCCAGTGAGGATTCGGGGTCACCGCACGGTTTTGGGACTTGGGTCGTTTCCCGAGGATGTCTCGGGCGACCGGGGCCTCCGAGGTCCCCAGCCCAGACATGCGACGTCCTGATTTCTTCAGGACGGCGTCCCTGGAAGTCCCGACCCTTTCCCTGGGGCCGGTTTTTCGTCCTGAGTCGTTTTTTGACGGTCCCGAGGCCCGGCGAGGGCCCCCCGGGGCCGAAAGTAGCCGAAAACCTCCCGCCCTGATTTTTTCACGACGCGAGACCATGTCTGGGAGGCCGTGCGGCGACGGGGCCCCGCGGTGAGGTCTTTTTGCGGACCTCGAGAGGTCGCCGCGGGCCTGCCACCACACGGTCTGGGGCCCTCCTTTCGGGACGATCGGACTGAGCACGGAATGGACGGGTACACTGCCCAGCAGCAGTACCGGTTCATTCCGGAAGAGGGCTCGCTGTCCGCGCCGCCGCGGGCGTGGCTCTTTGAGGACACAAAGCCGCCTGCGCAACGGCGGCCGCGGTTGGTTTTGGACAACGTGTGTTGTTCGGCACTGTGCCCGTTTTTTCCGTACCCACTGCGGGCGTCCAAATCGCTGCTCCGCCCTCCTCTGCCCGTAGGCCCCCGGGAGAGCTCGCCCTCCCTCGAGGGCCCCAGCGGGGAGACCGACACCCTGCTCGCACGGGGCCAGGGCGAGGACGCAAGTCCGCTCCACGGCGCTCCAGAGGGCTCTCAGAGCGTGCCGGGACGCTCTGAGAAGGCCGCGGCGCCCGAGACATCCTCGGTAAGAAGGAGGAGGAGGAGGAGGAGGAGGAGGAGGAGGAGGAGGAGGAGGAGGAGGAGGAGGAGGAAGAGACTCTCGATGTATCCTCACCTGATCGTCTCCTCGTCCTGGCTGCGCCTTGCCCGTGCTGAGCTCCGCCTCCGCCACCGCCGCCCTCCGCAGGCCGCGGGAAGCGGCGGGGCCGAGCGCGGCCGGCCTGGCGAGGTGCCACCAAAGTGGCCCTCGCAGGCGGAGCTCGGCATCGCATTGTTGATCCCTGGACGCCCGAAATGGGTACGGAAAGAATGGGTAAAATGCCCAACAGCAGCTCCTGTTCATTTTGAACAGGACTCGCTGTCCACGCCGCCGCGGCCTGTGTCCATTCGAGACAGAAGGCCGCCTGCCCAACAGCGGCCGCTGTCGGTTTGGGACAACATTTGTTGTTGGGCATTGTGCCCATTCTTTCCGTACCCATTTCGGGCGTCCAAATGATCCAGCTCGGGGCCGTGCGCTCCGGCTGTCTCGGAGGCTGATGGACCTCCTGCCCTGACACGTTGATCAGCGAGTTGGCCGCTTTCGCTTCGCGGGAGGGCGTGCGCTCCCGTTGTTCGTCTTGCTCCCCCTTCCCTTGGGTCCAGTCCAAGGAGTGCCCTCCGTGACCAGAAGTCATCAGGTTTCTGAGCTCTGCTCAATCGGGCCAGGCGAGAGGGGGGATAGCAGAGGGGGTTCGAGATTCAGCTCACGTAGCTGATTTTCCCGGCGCCTCCCAGCACCGGGAGGCGCCCATGTATCGAGGAACGGGCCCGGCGGCGGGGCCGAAACCAGCTGCATGCAGCAGATTTCGCAAACCCCTTTCCTAACCCCCCTCTTTCGTTCGGCCCGACTCAAGCCCGCCGCCCCCGTGTGCAGGAAGGCGCGCGCCCGCAGGTGGCCGCAAGACCCAGATTTGTGCACGGGATCTACAGCGACCCGTGTCCGACTTGCTGCCCAGACGTGCTCGTGCCGTGGAAAAATCCGGGCGGGACGTCTCTCATCGTCTTCGACCTCTGGGGGCCCTCGCCGGGCCCCAGGACCGTCAACAAAACGAGTCAGGATGAGAAAAGCTGGTCCCGGGGAAAGGGTCGGGGACTTCCGGGGCCGCGTAGGGAAGTCGTGCGCGGTCCGCTGCTCGCAAAGTGCCTACTCGCAAGTGTCCGAAAATCACACCCTGTCATGCTTTGACATAGCTTATCGTAGGTGCCCCGCGAGTGATCCAGGCCATTCGCGAGTAGTTCTTCTGCGAGTAGTGGAGCGCGCTCGTCGAGTACGGCAGAAACCAGGACGTCGCACGTCTGGGCTGCCGCAGTCCCGCCTGGGTGGCCCAGGCTGGATCTCGGAGGTGTGTGGCAGAGGCGGCCGACGGCCGCCAGCAGCTCCCAGCACGCGCGGGCCTGCTGCCGTACTTCTCGGGGGGCGTGGGGGGGGGCAGCGGCCCCTGAGATCCGACGCCCCAAACAAAAAAATAGAGCGGGCGGTTTTCGGCAGTTTTCGGCCGCCATGGGGCCCTCCCCTCGCCGGGCCTCGGGAGCGTCAAGAAACGACTCGGGAAGAAAAACCGGTCCCGGGGAAGTGGTCCAGACCTCCTGGGTCCACGCACCAACAAAAATTGGAGCAGCCGGATGTCTGGGGCGTTGTTTGAAGTCCAGCAGGTGAGATTGTTCTGGCGCGTTACCCGAGCGTATCGTCCAGCATAGCCATGCCCTCTGCATCGTCAGCTGCAGCGATGGCAATCCTCCTTGCGCCTGTTCAAAGTGTCAATCTTGCACGGCTGGAGTGGAGGTCGAGTCAGGAGTTGTTCTTCTCGGCCGTTTGGTCCAGCCTCGCTCTACCTTTGCGAAGCCAGCCTGGGCCACAGTCTGTGTGATTGGGCACCCCAGGCTCCCCCAAGTCCAGCTTGAGTGGCTGCAGCTCTCGCAGGCACCGCCCTGTTGAAGAAGCTGATCGACCCTTGAGCCTCGAGGAGCGGGTGTTCCCAACGCCTCGTGCTCCGCACGCCTCCACGGCGGAGCCTGCGGGCGCCCACGCCGCACGCGAGGTGCCGCGTCTTCGGAGCTTGCCTCTCTCCTCGTTGCCCTCTCCGCAGCCGCTCTCCGCCTTCCAGCCCGTGCGGGGTGGCGCCGCGGCCCTCGAAGCAAGCACCGGCCCAGGGCGCAGGGCACTCCCGCGGGGAAGGGGCCGCGAGACCTCCCCGGGGCCCGCGCACGGGCCGGACACCCGTCCGCTGGACGTCCGAGGCGGGCCCCGGCTTCCGGCGCGATCCGGCACGGTCTGGCCAGATCCGGCCTTGTCTTCTCGGGGGCGGCCGAGAGGGGTATGATGACCGGGGGGAGGGGGGACAGCATGGCGGGGGCCATGATATCTCCCCAGATTTCATGGCCCCTCTCCTTATCCAATCGCGTCGCTCATTCCGCCGGCCCATATTGCCCTGCCGCTTGGGGGCCTCTGGTAGGCAGTTTTGAGTCCTCTTGGGGGTCTTGTTGGGGCCTCTTGGGGCCTCTTGGGGGCCTCTTGAGGCTTCTTGAGACGCCTCTCAGGGGGCCCCCTGGGGCCTCTTGGGTGTCTCTTGGGGCCTCCTGGGGGCATCTTGGGGCTGAAGGCTGGACTTTTCGGTCCCTGGTCCCCGTCTTGGGCCTCTCTTGGGGCCGTTTTGGGGCCCTCTTGGGCCATCTTGGGCGCTTCTTGGGTTGTCTTGGGGCCATCTCGGGCCGTCTTGGGACCTTCTTGGAGGCTTCTTGGGCCGTCTTGGGGCGGTCTCGGGAGCCTCTCAGGCCGTTTTGGGGCGTTGGGAAGCAGAAAAAACGAGAAACGTCGCGCATGCGAAAAATGTATGTCTTCCGAGGGGAATTGGGCGATTTTTGCTTGTTGGGGCCCTCGTGGAGAGCCTCTTGAGGCTGTCTTGAGGCCTCTTGAAGCGTCTTGGCGGCCTCTTGGGCAGTCGTGGGGCCATCATGGGCATCGTCGGCCGATCTTTCGAGGACTCCAAGGGCTCTTGGACCGTCTGGGCGCTCTCTTGAGGCCGTCTTAGGCGCCTCTTGGGCCGTCTGGGGGGCCTCTGGCATCTCTGGCGGGCACTTGTTGGGACTTTGGCGGGGTACTTATCACATCGAGGCCCCCAGGGGCCGCCTCGCGCGCGCGCGCGAATTTGTTATATTATTAACTTGTCACCGGAGACCTCAGCACTCCTCTGGCCCGCTGGGCCGGCGAATTTCAATGCGTTTTCTGCCCCCCCCTGGTCCGCGCACATGCCTCGGCCCATGATTTGCACCCCCCCCTCCTGGACACCCCCCTCTTGGTCGCCCCCGATCTTAGGGGAACGAACAATGGCATAAACATAACATCTCGGAGGTCCGCGCGGATTTCTCGGATCGGCGCTGGAGCCCCCTGGCGGCGCCTCCGGCGCCGCCCCTGGCGCGTTCCGCGCGCCAAGGAGGGGAGTCCAGGCCGGACCCCCCTCCGAGTTTTTATGTTTAGGTCTGGTCCAGCTTCGTCTGGCCTGATATTGGCAATTCTGGATTTGCAGCTCCCAGTCCATCGGGACGAGGGACATGTTCGGTAGCAAATCATGGGGGCCTGGTGTACCCACTGAATTCTGACTTCAGCGTCGATTAGAGTCTGGGAGTCGATGAGACAGCGCCGATTTAGCGTCGATTTAGCGTCGATTAGCGTCCATCTAGCGTCGACTAGCAAGAGCCAACAAGGTGGTATGGGAGGCTCCAATGAGTTGCCACCGAAGCATGGGTACCGAAAGAATGGGTACAAAGACCGACATCAGCCCCTGTTTTTTTTGAACTGGACTCGCTGTCGGTGTCGCCGCGGACGCTGTCCACTTGAGACAGAGGGCCGCCTGCCCAACAGCGGCCACTGCTGGTTTTGGACACCACGTGCCGTTGGGCATCGTACCCATTTTTGTCCGTACCCATTGCGGGCGTCCAAAGTCCAGCTTCGTTCGAAGAAGACAAACTTTGGACGCTCCACGCGGACTTCTTGGATCTGCGCTGGGGGCCCCTGGCGGCGCCTCCGGCGCCGCCCCTGGAACGCTCCGCGCACCAGGGAGGGGGCCCAGCGCAAATCCAAGAAATCCGCGCGGACCGTCGAAAGTTTATGCGTAGCTTTTGCCATCGAG